AATTTCTGCTTCTGAAACTTTAGCGAAAGGCGAGTCTACTCCCGCCATTTTCTTTTTCACATTATCCACTTGCTCGGAGGTGTACATTGTTGATTAGCCCGAGATAGCAAACCAATCAGATTGCTTGTAACGCCAATATTTTTTTTTGTGTATATACTAATTAATAATCATTCCATTTCGTTCGATATGAGATGTTTTTTTGCCAACGATGCGCGTAGCGCCGAGTTGGCTATAATCATCTCATATCCATTTTTTTCGAGTGGAATAGTTGTCTTATCAAAAACGCCCCCAAGATATTAGACAATTTTTTTCAAATCTTAATTTTTTTAGCTCCCCGTTTTGATTTTAGGTGACGCGTATTTTTTTCATATTTGTAGATTATGGCATATTGGCTCATATACCATAATGGTTAAGCCAATAAAAAGACTTCAATTGCATTATCCAATGATGCAGTTTTTGATAAATGGCGATATATTATTGAGCATGGTCTGATATAGCGGAAGGACTCTGCGCCCCGAACTAGAGCCTCTCGTCAACCCCAAACAAAGCTTTGCACCAAGCGAGGGACAAATTGTCATGTTTTTTTTGTTAACAGGAGGAGAGAATTATGGCTGCTCGGTTGAAAATTAGGTTATTTTTTTCTTTTGGCCCAGAAAAACTGAGACTAGCGGAATTGCTCACAAACTGCCTTTTTTTGGAAGGAAGACGAATAATTGTATTACTGTTTCCCATTTCTGGATCGTTTTTTTTTGTCACAGTATACTCTTACTATTTGAACGAGCAGCAGATATCCTTATAATTTTTTTGACACGCAATAATGTTGCAGAGTTCACATCTTTTCTCTGCAATTCGTTTTTTTTTTAAACGAAAATGCCAGTTTCTAGGTAATTTCTGCAATTAATCAAACAATTTTTTTAGATTAAAATAGTAAGGAAGAGAAAACAAATACGATTCAGTCTTTCAATTTTTTTAAAAGTACTTATAAATTATTGAAAAACTTACCTCTACTCGAGGCAATTTTTTTTTCGAACGGTTCCTTCTTACATTAAGTAAGCACCAGGTGTCTCTATAAATTTTTTTTGTGGTTTCAGCGATTAACGATAAAAATACCCCTCTGAATTTCATTTGATTTTTTTGACTGTAACTCATTTTGAAAATAACATACCTTCAAGCGAAGAAAATTATTTTTTTGGGCAGGGAAGTTGAAAACTTATCAACAGTAAAATACAGTAGTGTTGTTTTTTTTACCGAATTAGGTTTATCTTTCGTTCTTTTTTTTCCTAAAATGAGCTTTTTTTTTTTATACAATTATATACCAAATAAAAATATAAACTGGAATAAGGATCGGAGTTAAGTAATTGTTTGCTCCTGTTTCCTATATGTAACACTCGACCTTAGTTCCTGTTTTTTTGTGCTTCACAGTCCAACGTTGTATTTTTGCGGAGTTGTCGATTTCAGTTTTTTTTATTTGAATTAGTTAACGTCATTCCGCAAACGAGAGACATGTTTCTAAATTTTTTTCATTCCGCTAACTTTTGGTTCGCAGCTTGGTCAGACTTATATTTAAACAAAGATCTCTTACGTGAAGTAATTACAGCTTCCTTTTCAACGAAATGGAAATAGATTTTTTTCTGAGATACGCTTTGTAAACATTCATTATTATCAGGTGTTGACTATCCTTTTTTTTTATATCACTATTATGGGAGCAATGCAACAATTTCAGGACTGCAATCCTTTTTTTTGATACAGCAATATGGACGGTAAGATGATATTATGTTAAAGAGGCTGTTTTTTTTATGCAAATCGCGAAACAATTGAATTTGCGTGTGAATGTGTATATTCTCGTATAACTGACGGCACCGTCATATCAGCTCATTTTATCCAACTTTAAAATTTGATTTTTTTTTCCTGAATCATTTTCCCAAAAAATCCTTTGGAGATCGAACAGAACTACTTTTTTTCTTCCAAAAGCCAGATTTTCAGTCAATTATTTTATTTACCACATGGTTAGATAAAAGGTTACTTTTGAGCTATTCTTAATCTAGTTAGAAGTAGGTCGAATGATTTTTTTTAGATTGTGTAAATAAATGGTCAAGAATTGCTCAAATTGCTGTCAACGTATGTATTGATGTTGTTTATCAAGATTTGGTACTTTATATTGGTCCAAGAACTTTCAATTCGTGGCACCACGCTCCGAGATTCGTCTGAAATTTTGAGCTTCAAAAGCGGTTTTTTTGCAAAATTCAATTATTGTCGATTTTCTCGAAAATAAATCGATATCCAGTTTTTTTAAGTACAATACAATACAATATTCTTTAATTAACGAAGGTGACGTAATTTTTTTTTTGAGTTATCTAACTTAAGGCCTTCACAACAAACCCACCATCCCACTCCNCGTATTTTGAACTTTTTGGAGAATAAAAAGCGCGACAGAACTTTTTAATATAATTTTCGAAAAAGGTTCATGAAAAGGGTCCTTTAGAAGAAATAAAATGAATTACGAAATTTTGCAACTGTTGGCGGATACTCGATATTTACGGTCAGTGGCTTTTAAAGACTTAGCAGAGGTTAAAATAATCCCCCTCTGTTTTATACCCCTGTTGCATTGTCTTCCAAATTGGATTTTATCTGACTGGTCCCATTTTGAAAAACACAACTTCTAACCAACCAGACTGCAGTGTTTGTTGCATTCCCTGTTTTGGTTGTGTCACCAATGTAATATGTTTTCGTGCCTTTCGCTTCAAATTGATGTCTGCCATCACGAAATCCAGCGTATTTATTCAATTTTTTATTTATTTCCACTTTTCGAATGCTAAAAAGATCGTTAGCAGCCTTTTTTGAAGGGTTGCCTGTTCATTTATGGCAGTTAATTTGTCAATACCTCTGGCAAGGCTAATAACTCTAAAGGAAATCAAAACTTTTTGAAAGGTAGTAAACATACGAATAAATGCAACCAAAACGGTGAATACTCAAAGGCACTTTCAAAGAAAGAGAGGTGCAGTGAGAGCTGACCATACGTAGATGTTTGCATTTCATTTTGTTTCTGAACCAAAATAATCGATTCCTTCCTCGCCATATCTTTATCGTACACTCAATGTTGCTCCTGAGACAAGTCTGTCACCCAATACAATTTGATACATGATTATATAATGTTTCAATATTTACACAAATCATCTGCAAGGGGTGGGGGGAGGTTAGAGGATTCTGGCTATTGTTAACTACTCGGTTCTGTAAAAACAAAGTTCTTTATTCGCGCACACACTAATCTAAGTAATAAAATGTAGGGCCGAAATTCACGAGATTTATACCTACTAGCATTTTGCATATATTACGGTCACACTACAATGTATACTAATTAGCAACAATTATATTTTGATAAAACGTAAATGGCGGCGTGAATTGCTGATTATACAACAACTATGTAATGTTCTCATGACCCCTTCCCTCCTTATTAGTTATAGTCTGTTTGCGACGTCGAGTCCCCCCCCCCCTGTCACCCCTGAAAACCAGCAGGAGTCGACCCTGTAACAAATATTCTCCCAGATTTTGAAATGATCCTTCAAATCGCCACATAATCTCATAGACATGCCTGAAATTGAAGCTGTCGATTAGCTGTCAAAATAAACTTTTAAGCATTTGATGAGATTAATATTCTGACACTTTTTACGTTATAGACCCGCTTTTTCGTCCAGAAACTGGAAAGAAGTACGAAACTTAAGCGAAAAGAGATAACAAGCAAGACATGCTTAATTTTATCTCAAAAGTGTAAAAGCAAACGAAATGCTTTTCGCTGCATCTTTAGTTTTCGAGCGTATCAATCAATCCTTTTTTTTTTTTAATCCACCCAATAGCCAATGACTAACGTCTGGCCTAATTTCTAAAAGTTTCAACATATGCCACCACTGTTGTCGCTTTTCTAAATAGATTGCTATTTGGCTGCCGAACTAGGGGTATTACAACTTAGACAGTCATTTCCCGCAGTCCTTGTAAGTCACACATAGGTAGTTGGTGATTGATTTGAATGTCATTTGAATACCGATTGTGAATTGTTCGGGATGGCTGATTTCTTCTCTAAGAAATGTTCCGCAGTATATGTCCGTGATAGCGTGTCGAATGTGTCTCATCTTCCAGCAGTAAACGGCAGGGTTCAAAGATGAATTAAGAAACATGATAGTCAATGAATAAATACAAAAATATTAGGCTCACTTACTTGCTTTTGTTTATTTCAGAGTGAAAGCTATGTTTATTAGGAAATTAGAACTTAGTTCTTTTTAACCGAGCGGGAGGTCTGCATGGGAGAATCTTGACTCACTTGAATCTTGGGTCACTCTTCTTTCCTCCTCACAAGCTTCCAGTAGAATATCTCCACTTCCTTGGTGAATTGGTTGATATTCAAGAGGTAATGACAACCACTGGGGTCCATTCCACCACAGTCTGCTTGAAGTTAGATTGTCACAGGTCAGTCCGCGTGTTAACAATTCTGCAGGATTGTCCTTGCTAGCACAAAAGTTCCAACAATCAAGATCCCATGTCGACTGTATTTCTAATACTCGATTTGCCACAAATGGCTTCCAGCACGAACTTTGTCTTCTTATCCAATGAAGTGTCGTCATACTATCTGTCCAGCATACAACCCGGTGCATCTTGATCTACAGTGCGTCTACAACAAACTTCAGTAGTCTAGCATTGACCACGGCTGCCATTAGTTCTAGTCTTGGATGTGACACTTTCTTGATAGTTGCAACTCTCGATTTTGACATAACCAATTAAGAGGATAGTTGTCCTACACTGTCAATAACTAGAATATACACTGTTGCTCCATAAGCCTTTGGAGAAGCATCTCCGAAGCCATGTAGCTCGACTATAGACTTCGAAGTGCCACTTGCTCCAGACCACTGAGGTATTGTTACATCTTTCAGCTGCAACAACTCAGATCTCCACGATGACCACTCCCGTTCGATGTCACTGTCTAATGGGTAGTCTCATTTTAATCCTCTCCTTCACAGCTCTTGGAAAAAAATCTTGGCTCTCACGGTGAAAGGAGAAATTAGTCCCATTGGGCCGAACGTTCTTGATGCTAAACTTAGAAGGCTCCTTTTCGTCATTGGATCATGGGAAAAAACACTTTCACTTGGTGTAATGAATCTGAAGCAGTCAGAATTCAAGTCCCATGATACACCAAGGGCTTTGAGTGGCTGACGTGAATCACACTCCAATAGTAGCGACGTTGCTCTTTTGTCTGTATCTATACCATCCATTACGAGCTTCGAGTTGCTTGCCCAATTTTTTAAGTTAAACGCTGCTGCCATCATGATATCTGACATCTCTTGTTGAAGTTTCAGCGCCGAGTTGTCTGTGTCAGCTCCTGTTAAGAAGTCATCTACATACATGTTATGTAGGATTTCTCCTGCGGCGTCAGGGAATGTCTCTACATACTTATTGACATGAGCATTCACGGTTGCAAAGGCAAGAAATGGACAAGCGTTTACTCCAAGTGTCAGTCTTAGCATTCTGTAAAGTTTCGGTGCTACCTCTGTCTTCAGATCTCTCCATCGACAACGGTGTACGTCCTGATGTTTTCGCGTAAGGTTAATCTGAAGATACATCTTCTCCACATCTGTTATCATTCCAACTCTGTGCGTGCGAAAACGGATGAGGACAGATGCAAGGTTGGGTTGCAATGCAGGACCCGGAAGGATACACTCATTGAGAAAAACACCGTCTTGCCCTCGGGCAGAAGCCTCGAATACGATTCTGCATTTTGTTGTCGGTCTGTCAGCATGGAAAACAGCATGGTGCGGCAAGTGCCGGACACTCCCATCTCCACTTGTCACATCAACTGCTTTCTCTCCAAAGCCTTTCTCTACATATTGGTTGATCGCAGTGATGTAAGCTTCAACTTTCTCAGGGTCTCGTTTCAGCTTCCTTTCAATACTTTCGAGTCGTGTCACAGCTTGGGCATAGTTTTTCTCTAACATTGAAGGGCCTCTCTTCATGGTAATCGAACTTCGTAGTTCTTGCCATCAAATTTTAGTCCGTCATTGAAGTCATTGACTGCAAGCTCTTCTTCCTGTAACATAGTTGGATTCACAGTTTCAGTAAAGCCAATTGATTTTAGTTCCCAAAACCGTTTCAGACTTGCGGTGACCTCGTTATTTTCTACCATCATTAGCATGGATGACGTGTGCTTTGAACAGCTGTTTACAGGTCCTGTAAGTATCCATCTGAAGTGAAACTCCACGTTCATCAGTGATTCAGGGTTCTCTCCTCTCTTGCAAATCCCAGTTACAAATGAGTAGTTATAATCAGCACCGATAAGAACATCTACTTAGACTAGCTTGCGAGGGTAGAAGTCTGCGAGAGTTAAACCTTGTAGGTGAGGGCTGTCCCTAAGATTCAGTCCGTCAGGTCCCAAGGGATTGCAAATCTTAGGTAGGGTAAGTGCTTCCATTTCCACAGCTTCTGTTAGATGTCCCTGGATTGGTGAGAGAGTGAATCGCACTCTTTGAAATCTCTTGGCCTCACTACTTTCTCCTCCAAGTGTTGCAACATTTAATACTTCTGACGGACCTTGCAGACCAATGGATGCTGCAATGTCTTTACGGATATAGGACCGCTGACTTACAGAATCGAGCAAGGCGCGCACTGTAACTTTTTGGCCATTCACTGATAGCTTGGCTAACGCTGTTTGAAGAAGTGCTTCCTTCATAGTGGTAGAGGATTTCGAAGCAGCCAGACCAGTCAATGTAGTATTGGTCGGATTTTCAGTTGTTGTAATTGGGGACTGACTATGTAGTAACTTGTGATGACGTTTTCCACAGTTCACGACTGGACACTTGGGTTAACGACAGATTTTAGAGAAGTGCTTGCTGTTGTTTGGTTATAGGCAATTAAAACACAACTTGCTCTCTTGAACCAATTTCCATCTATCATCCAATGCTTTCCCATCAAACTTTGGAAAGCTTAGTGACTCATGGATTCCCTTGCAGAATCTAGAACTTGGGATTGTTGGTGGTTTTGCCTCACTGAGCAAAGCAGACGCAGTTGACACTTGCTCTTGGTCACTTATTTCAATAAACGGTGGCTTCCATCGCCCATCTCTGCTCTTTTTTGTACTGTGACTTTTCAGAGTGAGATTTCCTTGAAGATTTCTTTCAGCTGCCTCTTTGGATACAACTTGTCGATTGAGGAATTTGAAGAACAATTCAAGATCAATCTCATCGTCTGGGGTGTCAGCCAGTTCTAATTTCCACTTCTCTATTATTGCAGAGGGTAACTTGAGCTCAAATATTGGTAGCAAAATATACCCATGATTCTTCGGGATTTCTCCAAGAGCTTCTAAAGCTCTAGTTCTGTTCTTTAGAGTACCATAGAGATCCCGAAGGGATGGTGCTGTTACAATATATTTTGCATCCATCTCAACAACTGATTTTACAAGGGATGAGATAACCACACGTTTTCTTCCGTATCTGTGTTTGAGACATTCTACAGCTGGTTGATATTTGGCCTCAGTCACCTAAAACCATTCTACTGCTTGCAAGGCATTACCAGTCAACAGTGAACGTACGTAAGTAAACTTTTGAACATTGGGCAAATCACCATTGACATACACTGCAGCTTCAAACTGATCCTAGGAGTTTTGGAATTTCAACACATCACCACTAACCTCGTGCAGCTCAATCCTAGGCAGTTTGAGATTAGACGATCAGTGGCTATCTTTATGTACGTTCCCTTTTGAAGACTGCTTTTCTAAATTGCATTCTTTATCTAAATGTTCACGAGCTGCATCTAAAGCTTGATCTATCTCATCCAAGAATTCCCTCCAACAACACAGTTCATTTTAAATTTCCTCGCCTACGAGTAAGAAAATTAAACGATCTCTCAACTGAACATATGCCATACGATGCTCTAACAATCTTCAGATTCTAATCTTTACCTTGACTTTATTATTCTCAATTTCGTTCAACTCTGAAATGGCACTAATTACGGCTTCAGTATCTCCCTGCAATACCTTTGCTTTCAGTTTGTTGGAAGTAATCTCTTGCTGTTGTTTTGCGTTTGGGCTGGAGTTAGTTCTTTCCTAAATTGAGCGAAATCCATATCTTCCAGTGATTCTCTCGAAGGTTCCGATTTCACAGCATTCTTTGACTCATAATAATCATCTACTAACCTCTGAATCAAGACTTTTTTTCTTTCCAGTCATCAGCAATCCCTTTCATTTAAGCAATCCACGTAGTTGCTCCACTGATTTTTGAGATAGCTCGTCTTCTATTTCAAAGTCATTCGAACTTTTTGCCAGCCATCTTGTCGCGCACGTGGTCAGGAGTGTTGACTGTACGAATTCTCATAGAAGTCAGTCAACTCACACAAATTGTACTCACGATCGTTCAAACCTGTCTCGAAGGACCAGTAATGTTCTGGTAACACAACGTATTTATTCACGGCCTCACAGCTTTACACAGTATTTCATCTTCACGGCTTCCGACATGCGACGTTCTACAACTCTTGCAAAGAAACTATATCGAACGAGAGTCACGTGACCCTACAAATACTATCGCAGGGTAACTCTACAAGTCAAGTGTGTCCGGTTTCTTACTTAGTCTACCCGTGCGGGTATAACAAGCTGTAATACTATTCAAGGGCGGCTTCTATTTTTTCTTTCCACGAAATTTCTGTGCATACTGATTTCGGTGGAGAGTAAACAAGGTTATCTATAGCTATTTTTAAGACTACAACAGTACTTTATCTATCATAATGTATACCCGGCGGTGGATACAATGCTTTAGAAATTCACTTTTGCATTTCTCACTACCTGAGGTAATTCCAATATTGAATTTGGAGGCCAAATAGGCTTTCTGTTTCTCGCTAAATCTTCCCCCTCTCCTGGACTCCTTCAGCGCCCATCCCTTTACTTTGGGTAGGATATCGACAGATGACGACTGCGCATCGCCACATGGCATAGTCAAAATGGCCCCAACCCCTTCCTCTAGACGTTTCGCGTACTCTTCTTTGCTGATGTCTAGAAGGGTCTTACGCTCGACCGTATGGGAACAAGCCTCCAAAGGAAGGTGCCGCTATAATCCCAATACACGCTGGAAAACTCTGATGGAGCCGTCTACAAGACAGGAGAATAGGTGGCTGCTGTAGTCCTGCTCTGGTGAGGCATCGTCTCGTTTAACTGTACGATCGGGTTGTCTGGCCGGTTGACCGCCAACACGCCTAAAACCTCTGCCCTCTGAGAACGGCTCGTCAAACCATCAGTAGTTATCCTGTACATACAACAACCAAAGAAAACTATGTTCACGTGCTTTCTTTTTTGTTTTTAAAAAAAGAACAAGCCAAAAATTGTTTTATTTTGGCAAGATAACGTACCTGTTCGAGAACTTTTCATCGTCACCATCCTTCCTTTTCCGACTGACAGAGGTAATTTTGGATTGTTCTTGATCGCTAAATACTGAACTAGGAGTAACAACAGTGACTCGGACACCATCAAACCCTCCATTAGACAGCAGCGCCGTCTTCATCTCTTCCACGGTCGTCACGTCCTCGCCTTCGTTCATGTATACACGAATGTGACTCTTGCATCGCGCTGCAAGACGATCTGCCGCGCCTTTCCCCCCTTGGGGATCAGTGAATTCGATCTGCTTAATGTGGACACCAGTTGACTTTTCGATGATGTCCGCAGCCAGGAATGTGGGATTCGACTGGTAACACCCAGCGTTGTCTTGGCGCATGTATACCTGAGAGATGTCGGTGTCTGCGTCCTTGATTGCCCTCAGGATGTGCTGCCAGATGTGAACAACTATAAGACTGTCCTGTGCGGAGGACTGCATCAAATGAACAAAGGACTGCGACTAAAGGGTTCCCTCTATCTGGCGGAAAACAACAGCAATATGCCAGGACATACCCCGCTTCCCGAACCAGTCATGTTGAGACTCTCTGTATCGCTGGGTAATAAACTTCATTTCCAAGTCACTAACAATCAAAGCAGGGTGCTCGTCTAATGCGTTTATTGCATTTATGTTAGCCTGGTCTTGGTGTACAGATCGTAGCTGGTGTGACTTCCAGGAATGTATGGCACTGAGAGATGTCCTACAAAGATAACACGCTTCGTCTTTATCCTCTTTGTTGTGGAACTCTGCACCATGAATTAGATTTTCTATATGGACGAGCACGTTATCCAGGGCGTCACATTGGCTGCATCTCTCATCATGCTGGTGATCGCACTCTTGACAGAAGTCTTTATCGGAAGGATCACTCAAAGGAAGTACACTGCAATGATCCGCCACTTCACTACTGCTGCCGGTGTGTACCTGAATAACAAGAAACAGCCATGTTACCAGCTATATTACAGATTTTGCACAGCTTCATGTAACTGCCTGCCTTGTATTCTCCTTTGATAAAGAGCTTTCTTGCTTTTAGAGCATCAAGAACCTCTGCTTTCTTGGTATCAAGCTCAACATTAGTGCTGATGTTCTCCACAATACCTGCTAGATCATCAAATGCATGTGCTCCTTCAGCAGCATAATTTTAGAGCCCTTGCAAGGGATTTCGCACGGATGCACTGCACTCGGACAGTACTCTCAGCATCATTCGTTTGCTGAATGGCACAAATGTTGTTTCTTTACAAAAAGCTGTATATTTTTCAGCTACTCGCTGTGGTATCATTGTACGAGTGATATTAGGAACTTTGATCTCTTTCCCGCTCGTCAGCTTGAGGCGTTTCTCTCCAAAAGGCAAGTCTTGGATAAGATGACCACTTGTTATGAAGTTAATAAAGTGATCTAACTGCTTTCTATCCACGCGCATGCGTGGATTAGAATTCTTGGTAACTGCAATACCTCGACCCTACTGTAATGAATGCGTTTTGGCCATACGGTATCTGTAACTGCTCAGTTCAGGGATGAATTTCTGTATCGCGGCGAATGAGGTAACCCCCGACATCACTGATAATACCTGTCGCCTAGTATCCCATCCAGACATGTTTTTATAAGCC